CCGAACATTGAGATAAATGAAGAAGCTTGGCATGTATCATTTTCCGAAGATGCTGCTGCTTGGTTTTACTGATATGCATGCAACTGCCAGTTAGTTTAACTGTTTTGGCAAGTGATTAGATATTGACATGGTGTGATGAGGAATAAGGAAACAGTCCAATGACTACACGAACCTGAACTGAATTACTAATGCCGTGAAGCAGGTGTTAGGTTGCAGGGCGTCAGTTATTAAACAAAACATTAACATGAATCAGCGACGCACGTAAAGGTCACTTTTCGCTTTCTGATTGCGTTATCACCCAATTAATCAGTGACATCAAAATAAATCGTCAAAATGTGCATTTTCGTAATCAGGCAGGCGTAATGGCACACGACCACCTAGTCTGAATACTTTGCGCACTTAGATAATGAAACATGGCGTGGAAAATTTGTTTCTTGGATTAAACCAAGTCCTGTCAAATTCAATTTTTTGTAGCTCAAAAATAGATTGCGGATCAATTTGTCTGTGCATCGTGACAGGTAAAGCAGAATATAGCAGTCATGCGATTTGTGTTAAATCTCTCCATGGCGCTTCACTCACTAGTTGGATGTCCTGACGTCAGTTAACAATCTAACACCTGTCTTCTCACTTTCCTCTGTTCTCGTGTTGTTAAAAGCTGTTACCCAGAACGATAGTGAGGCACTTTTAGTGAAACATTACATGTGATAAATTGATGTCTGCTAACTCCACTTTGAGGTTTACAATATCTTCGATTCTATTCACTTTAACTGACTCAGTGGTTGTATATTAGCACGTCAATGTTGTCTTGAACTAAGGTAATTCTAGCCCCCACAAATCAAATGATCTCACTCGTCTTTGCCAAACACCTACACACTTGACGTCTTGCAACGCATTTTAATTTTTTGAAGGAGCCAATTAAAGATGTGCATTTGCTGTCAGTAGTGCTTATTTGGCACTCCCGCTTAGAAGGAACCAAATGTTTCTTTGCTGAAAAGCATATTTAGCTACTTTACAGGGCTTTGCGAGGCTATCTAAGTTATATGCATGTTAAAATTAAAATATCCGTACGTTTGAACTGAAACTGAAAATTGCTTTATCCATCCTAATCTCACTTTTTTATCTAAAATGTGTCACACTAACCAGGTTCTGAGAGAATAAATGCCATGATATAACGAACTCACTATCTGCACAATTATTATATTACCTCAGATGCCATGACATTGCTTAGCGCTCCCTTAAACTGAAGTTATTTCTGTTTGGTCAGAAGTTAGCATCCAGAGATCACAGTGGCCTGGTATACGCTTTGTCAACTTTGCTGCTTATTCTGTGGCGTAAGGAGCAGGAACAGATGGAGGCGAAGTGCTAAATCAGCTAATGAATTATGAGCAATTAGTAGTATATGGCTGTCAATGTCTAAAAAAGATTTGTTTTTCATTTGCATTTTCAGAATCGATATTAAACGACAGAGAGAAATTTGCTCATGAGTGGATCAATTTGCGTTGGCTATTGACTACGCGCGACTGTCGATTGTGACATTAACGCAATCCCGCAAACTTGCTTTCATCTCTCGTCGCTTGCCTTGCCTCTGTTTTTAAGTACATAGGAGCTGTTAATTTAAAGATTTGGGATTTATTTATATTAAAGCACCGCCTTTAATGTATTCGGTCTGGTTTTAGAATTCTTCAAAAAATCCGGTCCTCTTTAGCTTTGAGTGAAAATATGACCATGAAATGACACGTCAATGTAATGTAAAGAAATCACTAAGAACGATGAGTAATAAGTCATTTGGTGTGTTGAATTTGGGCATTTCGTTGAAATTTTTAAATGATGATTTTTTTACCATTATGCACTGATCACCAAAATACAAAGCAAGCAAATGTACCCCCAATGAACAAAATCAAACTTCTCTTGCAGATAAATAATGTTAACAATGCAAGAATCACATGATAGGCAGAGAAGGAGTCTTATGGGAATTAAAGGACATTGTCCTGGTTTTTTTTAATAATGTTTCATCTCATAGTCATGTTAAATAAGGCTCTTCGACGTCGGGTTTGATAGCGCTTTCAACGTCAGAAGGTCTGCGTTGGCCTATACCATGCACACATATTTGAAAAATCAAGAGGCACATTTCTCTGATATGAAGAGGTCATTCGAAGTGGTCCTGTTGTACCTAATTATATTCACCTAGCAGGAGAATATTAGGTGGCCAGAAGTTCTAATTTTTTCCACAAACTGCAGCCTACTTGAATTATTCATCATGGATTAAAAAGACATGTAATTCAGAGCCTATAATTGATCAAGCAACAAAAAGCCTATTATTGACTACTTAGGTCGTGTGCGAGAAATATCGTCATTCCGCTACACTGCCCCAGTACACCCTAAGATCGTATATTTTGTTAATTTGAGCAATGCTTAGAGGCAGGCGTTAAGCACAATATGATTGCATCTCGAATTGTCAGAAATGCGCCCATTATATGCAAGAGACTTAAATAGAGTCACAATTGTAGTCTTTTGTTTACTTCGGATTAATAGCCATCGAAGTACAATTAAAGTTCCTTTCTGGCATGGTATCAAGTTTAATTAATTAAATTGTCTTTAATTCACGTTTACGCGGTTGCTATGACAACATTAGCGACCTGCTGTCTATCATCATTTGGTTACCGGCAATCTCACATTTAGATTCGCATGATTAAATCTCTCCATACCGTTTCTTCCTATAATTAAAGGCCCTGACGCCAGTTTACTGCCGCGCACCTGTCGTCTGTGTTGTCTAAGTTCTCGGGTTGCTAAGATCCGTTACCCAGAAAGATAGTAAGGTAATTATGGTGAAACTATTTATTTGATAGATTGATGTTTGCTAACTTTACTCAAAGTTTCCACGTCCATTTCGAAGAAACACTTATGGAGCCTTAGCAGACCAATATCTATGTCTATAAATTAAGGATTACTGGCTAGAGATTTAGCACTACCTTAAAACCCTCTAGTTAACAGCCTAAGACAACTCAAGAGGAGTGGGAAAGAGCCGACAGCGGACACGACTGGTTTAATGGTGTCAAAACAGCCAGGTGGCTTTGTGAGCGTATGACTACGCGTGCGTAACAGGCGAATGCTGACAGGGGCCAATAACAAAGGAGAGTGAGTCATTGGTACACTCGGCCATGGTACGCGCATCACTCACGTGAGGTGGCTGTCTGCCCACTACAAAGGTTAAAAAATAGGCAAAGTTTTGCATATCTCTTTCTTATTTAGTCTTCAGTTGTGACTTTCAATCGATTTCATGATTCGAAATCTCTGACATCAAGTTATCAGTTTATAAGCAGTTTTTCACTCTTAAGAAAAAAAAAATGGGTGTGCCACCTGTTCCTGTCTTAACAAATTTAATTTAAATAACCACTAGTCTTTAATATTGTCACTTTATTTTGGCGAAATTTCGTTTTATCTAAACAGACTTTAACATTTTGCACATCAGCCTGCACGCATACCACAATTTTGTACAAAATGCGTTGCAATAATTGGTGCGGTTAAAAAGCTATACTGGGGAGATGAACACCGACAAATTCGTACCACGAGGAAGAACATCGGAAATAACTGCTGAACAAAACAATATGTCAGGCTTTTTGAATGGATTTGTTAATATGAACACCTAAACAAAAAAATCTACTTCGCGTACATTTAAATAAATTGGTCGAATCCTGTTCTCTCACCCCTGCTAACCACGGTGACTCGCTGGTCGCCAAAAATGCAAAAAGAACGAAATTAATTGAACAATGACTGTCAAATACGATTCATGAATTGTAATTGCTGATAAGGTCCTAGTTAACACAGCTTGCATAAAATCTTGCAAAAACTAAACTTAAATGTCTAGTTATAATGTGTTCGTGTCAATTTACACTTGCAATTCCATTTTATGAAAATGTTAATAACCACCCATCGGCCAAACCCATGTCAGCATTGCAATTTCTCATTGTCATATTTTACTTAAATTTTCCGCTAGCCTACTCATCTCACAATGTCACATCATATTATACCGGCGTCATTTAGTCATTTAGTAGATCAAAATAATCCATCATTACTAAATTGTCTACAATAATAGGTATTCCTCGGTGGACGAAAATGCATTATTACTTTTTCCGGCATCCTATGCACATAATGACCTTAATTAGACAAAAACACTACGATATGATTTGACAAGTTGTACATATTCACAAATAGAATGATTAACTCTTGCCTCATACATTAGTACTGTGTGATTTAAATGTATGCTTTGCAAATTCATGCATTTTGAGAACACTATTTGGTCTGCATTAGTGTCCTATTATCTTTTATTATGGCAACAGATTAGTTGATCTTCATGTTTTGCACATTATCCATTCCCTTCCTTGGTCGATTCGTGTTTAATACTAGGTAACAAACCTGTGGTAGAATATGTAAGCGCCAAATAGTTTTAAGAAGACGCTTCTTGTAATTTAAAATTTATCCTAATGAAGTCATGGACTCAAGGATTCTAAAATAATCCTTCTTGGCAACATTTTTCTCGTGAATCACACAAAGCAAATTGTTAAAAGCGACTTAAATGCACAAAACTCTATCTAACGCTTTTGTAGAAACTGATCAGTGCAGACGTAGCTTAAACCACTGCAAGTCTGCAGCGTGTTGCGGTGTAAACACGCAAGCCCTCGGAAGGGTTTACGGAGTACGCATAGGAGATGAATGCGGTAAATGACAGCGTGATCAAGGGTCTTCAATTACAACTGACAGCAAAATGTTGAAAGATATGCCATGGACTAGGGCCAGAAAGCCGTCTATTGTCATGTAGCGACTGGATAAAATGTGAAACACCGAAAATGGAGAAGACATAGATACCGCGTAGTTCGAGAGGTTTACTGAGGCTGCAGGACGGAAGTTTGGACACGGACAAATAGTTCCTGATTGTACCAGTAGTTAGATTTCCCTTCGGTTTTTACACATACCGTTATTAAAGGTGATCATTTTACCTGACGATGGAGTCTAGGTTTGCATTGGTAAGTCAAATAGATCTGTGTAATTCCGACAAAATACCTGGTTGATGGTTCTTTACTATTGTGTGCCTAAGTAATACATTTCACAGTCACTGCAAATTAACCACAACGATAGCAGGTTAACGATCTGGATGACGACATGGTACTTTATCACACAGTTGCCCAATATTTTGACCTGTCTAACGATGTCAATGTCAGGCAATGTTTCGACAGCTTTTAACTAAGCTGATATTCTGTACTTAAAGGAGCACACAGCAAATCATCTGAAGCCTGGAATGGTTCTCAGACGGCACCTCGGCCAGACAACCGCTTTTGATACAGCTGTGACTGATTTAAACCGCTTACCAGAATGTCAACCTCTTTGGTCCTACCTGATCAATTATTTTTACGATTTTGCATTTTGATTCCTTAGTTCACGTGCTTTACACTCACAATTTATCTAATAAAATATTTAGTCTACATTAAAAATAATCATGCGGTGAAGTAATTCATCAGCTGATGTCGGTGAAGCCGAGGTTATTCTCACCAGCACACTCACAGCCATTCAATCACGCCACTTCTCGTGCTCTCCTTCAAGGTAGATTCAGCAACAGCCATGAGAAGGGCTCTGTTTTCTAAAAAGGAGGGGCAATTCGCCAGACCGCGACAAATCGCTGCATTCATACTAACCACCAAGACCATGCAGATACCACAAGCATGTTAATGCGGTGCTAGTGCTGATAGGGCGTCTGCACCTGCACGCACGCCACATTGTCTACTTCAGTCGACGAAGAAGAAGTAGAAGGCTTCAAACTCATCGACCTAAACTAATCACACTGCCAAACAATACAGCATACTGCTGTCAAGAAAATTACCGCCATCAACAGCACGTCCACACAGAAGCCGCCTTCACAACGTCTACAGTCCACAGTCAATCAAATTGCTCAACAGATTGGCAACGCCAAGTTCCACGAATCACCACTCAGAGCCTGCAAACCACCGAGTGCGTACACCAATCACAATGGAGCCACGGACACATCGTAAGTGCGTACTTCTAGCACCACCCCTCATCCTCCTCACCTCCCGTCAACAATGCTCAGGTCGACCCAAGGTCGATTTTTTTCCGCTTTACCTGCAAGCGACGCCGAGAGCTATGATAAGGCCATATCGCAACCTTACACTGATATGACCGCCACCGCGGCACCCCCACGCAGCCAGCTAGTCCCAGTACACTGCCCCGCCGCAGGGTTTTTTCGGCACTTAAATCGCAGTCGCCCCTTCTCCCAGCCAATCTCATTACTTAGCCTGAACGTAGGTCACGTAAATATTTTCAGGAATATATGCTGCAAAATGTTTCAAGGTCAACCCATTTTGCTTTATCTTGACGGCAATTCAAACACTCGATGCAAATTAGAGTAAGCATGGTTTGCCCATAATGTAGGTGTAGTTTGGGCACTTTACTACCAAGTAAGAGCGCTCCTTTGTTCACTTCAAGTAGATCCCACCTGCCACATTGGTCGTCAGTGTCGTGGCCTTCTCACTCTCTTTCAGCAACCGAAATTGCCCTAGACTATGCGAACACCCTAAGCAACGATTAACTCCACAACCCCCTCATTGACGGTAACGCGTAAGTATCATTTTTCATCACAGTGGGCAATTTTACAGGGCAAGCACCCAGCCACCACCTACGTACATCAGGACAAGCATTACAGCGTCTCAAGGGAATGCGCGATTATATTTTCACGGCCCAATGCCAGTCTCGCAGGAACCCCACCACTTTCTCCTTCCCACTATATCCAACTTGATGTCGCCAATGCAAACGACTCACTAGTACTTTCAAATGCGTCATTTTTGTATTTGTGATGACAGCGGGAGTGAGAGGACAATTATCACTCGGGCATTTCCTGACTTATTTTTTGCCAAGTGAAGCTGCTTCTGCCACTGCAGCTGTTTTTCGTGCTGGCGTCCATCGATCGATCGGATTTGTACACGTGCTCGTTCCTTACCGAAACGCCTACTCGGTTTACCAATCGCCTCGCCAATGCGCAATGTGCACGTCAGCCACATGCGCTCAGAGCTGAAGTTCATTTGATACCTCTCGCCTTTTCCGCCTTTCTGGCTAAGTGCTTTTAATTCCTTTAAACGAGCCTTTTAAACTACTGCTTTTAAAAATCCTGCACAAAACGTAGCTGCCGGCAAAGTACGGAGCAGGACACGTACTTAAACTCTTAAAGAACCAGAAGTTTGAGCACAAGATGAAGCCAAGAGTAGAAGTTGACTGAGTGCCTATACATCCTCAGATCGATGAATTGAGTAACTAACACTGAATGAAAAGCTGTTAGTGTGATCAAAGACGTGGTGTGAACGTAGCTTGTCAAATAAGATTACTTTGGCATGGAAGTTGTCATCATTTTTTGTCACTTTCAGTTACACGCCGTGTTGTACGGAACAGCGCAAGGAGATCATGAAGAAGTAACACAAGCCACTATATGAAATGCCATTTAGAATAAGAAGTGGCATTCCATAGGCCCAAGAAAATCACACTTGGCTGGTGTGACGCTAACAAACGGTCGTGTTCTCTATCGCCTCTTGTCATTCTCTTATCACGTTGTTACTATCTGTTAACCCAGGAAGAGATCCAACCAACCCCTGTGAGTCGTTGTTCGCTTTGCTTATTCATTTCGATAGTTTTCGAGCGTTTACCGTTTCACGCTCTCGGAGAGGAATATTTGCAGCGGATTAACAGCGATCGCGCTTGAGTGAACCTTTAGTGGCTGGAGATTTAGCTGTACTTTACGACCCTCTAATTAACAGCCCAAGACAACTCAAGAGGAGTGAATAAGGGGCGACGGCGGACACGACTGGTTTATTGGTGTCAAAACAGCCAAGAGTCTTTGAGTGCGGTGAGTATGCGTGCGTAACAGGCGAATGCTGACAGAGGCCAATGACAGAGGGGGATGAGTCATTGGTCCACTCGGGCCCTCGTGTACGCACACTCACGCAGGGCGGCTGTCAGTCCACAACAAATATTCCCCCATGAGAGTGTTAGCTGTGAAACAGTAAACGCTCGAAAATTATCGCACGGAATCAGCAAAGCGACCAACGGGTCTCAGGAGTCGGCCAAAACGGGAGGTTGGGTAGGGTGGGGATAAGGGAGATTGGAGAGTGAGTTCGTCGTTGCTTGAGCATGTGGAAGGAACATTGGTGTCTTCCATATAAGCAGCTTTGAGACTGTACGCTCAAAATATCCAGCGAACCATTTTTGTCAATTACAAAAAAATTTGTCGGTGCGTTCTTCCACCTTAAAGGGGCCATCATTGGGTCGTTGCAAGAGTTTTTCTCACCATCAACGCGGACAAATTCATAAGGCTAAGTAAGCAAACTTGGTTTGATCCGTGCTTGTAGTGAGGACATTCTTGTCGGAGTTGGTCGAATTTCCTTCATGTAGTCCTTTAGTTGATTGACATAAGATGAAGATGCGAGCTCAGTCGTCTGGTCAGAGTTGGTGATCGTTTTACCAGGCAGACGCAAAGTTGTACCGAATACCAGTTCTGCTGGCGTGGAGTCAACATCTTCCTTTACCGCATTCCAAGTGGCTAACGAAATCATTGGTAATTAGTCAGACCAGTGGTTCGAGGCAGCTTTCGCAATAATAGCTGCTTTCAATTGACGGTGGAAACGCTCAACCAAACCATTAGATGCTGGATGATATGCTGTAGTACGAAAATGCTTGCATCCGAGAAGGTGGTTTAGGTCTTGAAACAAACGAGCTGTAAATTGTGCTCCGCGATCATATGTAATAGAACCGGGGAACATCGAATAAAGAAATTCATGGTTCTATAGGGATTCATGTCGACCCATGGCCAACAAAAAAGTCCTCGCAGCTTCCAGCACACGCCCCCCTTTTCACGGCGTGCCCGTCAGTCACGAGAGGCCGCTGGTTCATTAACCACTCTGCATGTCCCACCACCCACATTTGTCATGTGACCTAACATATACCTCTGTTTATTTTTGTATATGTCCACTCAACCGAAAATGTACACGACACAACATGGTTGAGCGGTCTAGTAAACGGTAGTGTCTTCTCCACTCCGGTCTTCTTTATTTTCGCGGGAACACAGGGTAACGTATTTGGTGTAGATTTTTGCAGTGGCCCCGGCGCGGTTCAAGACAACATGCCGGAGCCCTCAATAATTCCATAACTGCTTGAGCAACAGTTTCGGCGTGTCCATCTTTAATAGTAACTACCATAAGCCAACGAGTAAATCGGTCCACTCAAGTTAGGATATACGTAAAACCACGAGACGGAGGAAGAGGTCCAACTAAGTTCATGTGTACATGACGGAAACGCGCGTCCGAAAGAAGAAAATGTCCAGGTTGTGAAATATTATGACAGTGGACTTTTTTTGTGTTGACACTGTATACACAGTTTTGCCCATAAGCCAATGTC